GATTTCGCCAATATTTACAGACCAAGAATGAACGCTCAGCTTGACTAAGATGTTCTCCACCACTTGCCATCATTTTGAAAAACCGCTCACCAACACGAAGCACTCGAGATCCTGGTAAACATGTTCGGCACATAAAGCACAAGCTTCATGAACAAGTGACATAAGGAAAAAACATTACAACAAAGCTTTCAAGATGCGAACAAGTGCCATCGGGTAGGTAGCCGACAAACAGTTCGTTTCCTGTAGGATCTGCAGGCACGGCTTGGTTCTGAGGTTCTTCACTTTAGAATATGTGCTCTTTTTAGGAAGCATTATGAGCATCAGCATCGTGTAAACAAGTTGAACGCAGACACGACGTGTAAAGTCTCAAACCTCTGCGATCATCTCGTCGGGAAGCGACGACGCGCGCTCAATCACCGCATCTACATGGCCCGATCGAGAATACAGAACGCAAAATGTGTAAACTGAGCACTTGGCTTCAAACAGCTTCAGACAGTGTGCCCGGAGCCGAACGGAAAAACCTAACTGAAAAAACCTAAAAAACCTAAAACACCTAAACTCGGGAAGTCCTTCAGAGAGATATCCCTGACAAGACTCTCGAAATTTAGGTTTTTTTGGTTTTTTAAATTTTTTCAGTTAGGTTTTTTCAGTTAGGTTTTGTAGGTTTTTTCAGTTAGGTTTTGTCAGTTAGGTTTTTCAGTTAGGCTCCCTAAACCCCCAAACCCTTGCCCTGGGCCCTTGAAGAACAACTGTGTAACGACGTTGTCGACGGCGCGTACATGAAGCCAACAAACGGTGGATCCATGGGGGAGGGGCACCATATACATATACATATACATATACGTATATACACTTACATACATACATAAACACATACATACATATACCCATACATATAAATATACATATACATATACATATACATATACAAATACATATACATATACATAAATATATACATATACATATACATATATACACTTACATACATACATAAACACATACATACATATACCCTTGCATATACATATACATATACACATATACATATACACATATACATATATACATAAATACATATATACATATATACATATATACATATATACATATTTACATATATACATATATACATATATACATATATACATATTTACATATATACATATATACATATATACATATAGATATACACTTATACATATACACATATACATATGTACAAATACATATAAACATATGTGTATTTAATATGCATATATGCATATACATATATACATATACATATATAAATATACATATATACATATACATATATACATATACACATATACATATACACATATACATATGTACATATACATATGTACATATACGTATTTACATATGCATATATGCATATACATATATACATATACATATATACATATACATAAATACATATACATATATACATATACATATATACATATACATATATACATATACATATATACATATACATATATAAATATACATATATACATATACATATATACATATACACATATACATTTACATATACATGTATATACATATACATATATATATACATATACATATACATATATATATATATATAATATACATACATATATACATGTCACAGTGCAGCCACATGCCCTGAAGTGAGGGGTCCCACGCAGCACTCACTACTTTCACCCACACGCCGAGAACCGAGAAGTGGCAGATCAGATCAAAATTCCGAGGGACCCGGGCATAGCTTCAGACAGGTCCCAAGACCAGTCGGAAATACGCAAACCCCCCTACGGATTGATCCAGGGGGAGTTTCACAACCCCCAATCCGGTCCGAGATTCCGAGGACAGGAAGCAACGAGCCCCGAGAGTCCGCGAGGAACCAATACCCCCCAATCTCTAAAGGTCAGGGAAATCGGCGGGAAGCAGCGCCTGAGGCAACTGTACTCACAGAGTCTCTGTCAGTAGTGGCAGGCCCGGGTGCCAGAGGCAGCCCGTGGTCAAGCCGGACCAGACTTGAGAGCAAAAAGCTTATCCAGGACCATCCAAGATGGGGTCCAAGCTACTGAAACATCCTTTCTACGGTCAAGGGAGAACCCCTCAAAATTAAAATGTGTGAGCTGATCTGGACCCAGGGTCTTCTTGGCGTCCAGGGAGAACCAGTAGACCTCGTTCTTCTCTGGGTTGGGCATGACGGAGAACCAACCCCCAATGGCAACTCTGTTGTCATCCTCGCCTGCATCACTGCTCCCGTGGCAAGCGGAGTTGAGCTGAAGCCGCAGGGGAACACAAGGGCCCGCATCCAGGATGGAAGGGAGAAGGGTGGCCAGGAAACGTACAAGATCACCTGGCCGGCATTTCCGCTCCAACTTCTGCTCCTAAGCGTAAAGAGGTTGGAGATGTGGGCTCACCTGTGGGTAGGCTTTGGCTACCCATTGGAGCTTGCCAAGAGGAGAGGTGATCTCTTTTCTGACGTGAAGCTCACCTTCTTGTAACTTTTGAAGCGCCGGCCGGATGATTGACATCTTGTCGCCAAACGGAGCCCTCCGAGATGTCGACCATGTAGCCCAACCATCGGTTCTGCTTACCCAAGACGTTGTTGCGCCAAGAGATTGGGCAGCCCACCAGTGTGAGGAAGAGCATCGGCGTGGCCGCGCCAAGGTCCCCGAGCTCTTCCTTCATGAGTGCCATGAAGTCGTCGACGAAGACCAGCAGCCAGAGGAAGATTTTCGAGACGTGGTAAGACAGGCGGGTGAGAATGGCCGCAGGCGGCCCCAGTAGAGCTGCGCCGAGGCCACCCCATATGTGCCCACCTTGTTGACCCAATACCGCTTTTTGATCTTGGCCACCATGTACGTCTAATGCTTCTTGAGCACCTTGATTCTGCGGTGCGCCTTGCTGTGAGGCCTAAAGCCCCAAGCTGCAGTTTGGCAAAGAGAAGATCATAAAGCGTGCGGGCAGTTGTCTACTTGTCCGCGTTGGCCCTGGTGTTTGCATTGACACCAATGATGGTGGCATCGAAGATGGTTCTGATCTTGTCCAGTTCCTGGATCCCAGCCATGGCCCCACACAAAGTTCCGGGATGGAACAACCGCAGAGGTCCGCTGCTTCTGAGGGGCCTTCCACCATGTCAAGGAGTTTTTTCCTCCAAGAAGGTGGCCTCAACGGTGTCCTCGAACACCTCTGCGCTTGGGTAATTCTCCGCAGTAGAGGGTACTGGCGGTTCAAGGTCGCATAGGCCATTAATGTCCGGGTCGGTCAAGCTAAACCGTTTACCCCCAGCGGCACACACCTTCGTACACGTGCTTGACAAAGTCCTTGTCCGGGTCCCCTGACAGCTCCGCCAGGGCCTGCAGGATGTCCAGGGCGAAGCTCAGTAGACACAGATCTCTGGAGAAATTGTGATGGGCGTTTGGCGCCAAGGTCTCATCCGCGAGCACTGGTCTGGAGAGACTCTCTGGGGAATCGGCGCGTGAAGCAACGTCGAGGTCGGTCCAATTGCCAATCCAGGCAAGCTTGCACGGCTGGTCGGAGGCGGCCTGGTGAAGGCTTGCCACCTCCGTCCCGAAAGGGGCGTGAACGGTGGCCCAACCGGACCGTGAGAATCAGGGAGGCCTCCATGGGATCGAGGCGGTCTAAATCCGCGTCCTGAGGACCCCCAATTTTAGGTTGAACTGCCCGCCCCACCAGGCCAGGTCGCTGCTGGACCCCACGTCAATTGGCTCTGAGGCCATCCCAATCCAGCAGAAAGTTGGTGAGAACCGACGTTTGCTTCCGCGCACAGTGTCCTAACATGCACTGATCAAAGCAGTGTACTTTCATATGCGACAAGCCAGCGCCAAAGTTAGCTGGGTCTTCCGGGTGTTCCAGCAGGAAGGCTGGAGGCCTAGGACCCGCCTCAAGCGCCAGGTGGTAGAGCAGAAGCATCCGAAGAAGGAGCAGGGAGTCCCTGTCTGTGTCTCTGAGTTCCTCAGCCTTTCCTGGCACGGAGTCTAAGGCAGGACCAGGTCCTGCAACTGGGGCCCCCTGAGATAGCCATGAGGTTCCCTGAGCGCCAGCTGGCAAAGGCCCGCAAAGACCTTGTCACCAAGGATATTGCGCAGCTTTTTTTCTCCCTGCACATGTCCATTTCCACCACAAATTCTGCCAGGTGGGGGACTTTTGGCAAAGAGCTAACTTGGTGCTCCTGGCATCATCCTGTCCCGCATAAAGACACAGACTCTGTCACAGAGGCCAGTGTCTGCTGTCTTAGAGGCGCCTGCCTGGGTTCCGAGATGGCATCTTGGCCTTCGTATTCCGCGCCTGCCCCTGAGCCGCCGCTCCAGAAACAAACCCGCTGCTAGTCTCCAACTAGGGCCCCGATCCCTGCTGAGCCTCTCCCAAGGAGCGTTTGTTGCCCGAGTGCCTCGGGGAATCGGCGCCTAAAGCAACCGTCCCTTTGGTGATGGTTCCTCGCGAAATGTGAGCACTTCTAAACGGGTACCTGCGGGGAGTCGGCGCCTAAAGCAACCATCCCTTTGGGATCCGGAGGCCCCTGAGGAAGCCCCGCCCCTCAGAAGCCCCTGAGGGGAGGGGCGGGTTTGTCAACGTGATTTCTTCTCACAAGCCTTGCCACTGGGCAGGAGAACCGGGCAGTTGTGGGACCTTCCGCAGTCTCCCCGTTGAACGCATGGTGTTTCTTGCAAAACTCCTTGCCATCCGAGGCCATTGTTGCCCACTCCAGGTGGCACTGCTTGGCCAGCAGTTGTAGGGCTTTGGTCTTGGCCTTACCTTTGCCTTTTCCTCGCCCCGGGCCCTCGGGATGGAAGGGCTGGGACCTGCGAAGACAGGACTCATCGATTTCCATGGACCATAAGCGGGAGTTATTCTGGATGTCCTTCACTGCCCCAGAGATTGTGAGCGTCTCATCCTTAGCCATGTTGAGAGCCAAGAGTCCCAGGCCTTTCGCCCGGGCCGGATCCCGGCCCATGATCGTGTCCCCAAACAAAATAGAACTCATCCAAGTCCGATTTGGTGAGCTGTATGGAATATGGCCCCGCGCAGGTAGCAACCACCATCAGGAGAGACGTCCTCCAGATCATCAGTACCCGCTTCCATTGCTTCTCTGTTTGGACCCGATTGGCTTCTTCATGGATCCATTCCACATCTTCTTTGCTCTGGCGCTTCTGGAACTTGACCTCCCCGTCCTTGGGGTGGTTTGCCACGACCTTGTTGAGATCCAACTGCGAGCCCGAGAGAAATTCTCCTCTGTACAGGACTCTCTTGAGGACCCCGAGCATGTGGTCCGAACCTTCGAATTCACGCTCCGGTTCCACGCCAAACTTGGCCAAGTAAGCCGCACGCATCTCCTGGCGATCACCACGGCCGATCATGGCCTTGTAATCCTCAACCGAGTGGATGTCCACCTCGGCGAGCTTCCGCTTCTTCAACAACTTGAACTGTTCGATTGCACTCTCAAGGCGGATGGAAGCAAGAACGCTGGTGTTGTCATTAAAGCCAAGCTTGGGGGGCTTCCTTGCGAAGTTCCCCTTCGTCCCAACGCCCGGCCCAGTCTTGGGCCGTGACAAAGCCTTGCGACGCCATGGCGTAAAGCACAAGCCAGGGCACCTGGTGCCGTGCCAGGACGAGCCTCACATTCTCATCAATCTTGAGGACCTCCGTCTTGTAAACATCCGGACAGGAGTTCGGGGGACGGCAGACCGTGAGCTTGGCATCAACCTCACCACCCGGTCGATCACCCATGTTTGGTGTCGCGTTCCCAGAGGCCTCACAGGTGCGGGATGGCGGGCAAGAAAACAGAAACCCGAGACAACCCGAAGGGAAAACAGAAAGCACCCCAACGTGCCTATGATCCAAAATGGCCGCATGGCCCGACGACATCCGAGGCACCCAAGTGTGCACCAGCAGCTGGCTTGGCCCTATGACATGCGACGAGTTGATCAGTGCAAGCACGGATTCCTCTACACGTCACAGTGCAGCCACATGCCCTGAAGTGAGGGGTCCGACACAGCACTCGCTATTTTCACCCACACGCCGAGAACCGAGAAGTGGCTGCCAACTCCGAAGGGCCCGAGGACTCAAACCCGGGTAATCCTTGCACCTCGGAAGATCGGCGCCTGCGGCAACCACATCCGAGGAAAACCCCCCGACAAAACTCGCCGGGCAAAATGAAAGTTATTTGCTTGTCACCGCGTAGGAACCACCACGAACGTCAACGTCGAAGGCGAACTGCCCGAAGAAGAGCCCGCCGAAGGAGCCCCAGCCATCTGGCAGTTCCGAAGAGCTCGAGGAGGATTCCAACGAGCTCGCCGAGCCCGAGCCATCCGAGGCACCGTGGCAGTACCAAAGCCCTGGCGTTTTGGCGCTTGAGGATGTCCTCCTGGCGCAGCGTTGCCGCGCGGTTCCTCAGGTGCCCCCCATGGTTCAGGATGGCATCCTCCAGCAGAGAGAGGCTGTCCACATCCAGGCCCTCCACCATCTTCTCCACAACCAGCTTGGGGAGGGACCGCTGGATCGTGGCCACGTCGTTGCGCAACAATCTGTCCGGAAGCACGCTGGGCTGTACGAGGCGGCACAGGGACTTCTTGGCGTCAACGCACTGAACCACAGCACGGTCTGTGCCCATGAGCTTCTCTGTTGTAAGGTCCGGCAGCGACATCACCACAGCGCCCACGTTCTTGAAGGGCAACTTGTCTTTCATGTGCAACAGGCCACTGACGAAGAGGCTAGGATCACTGTGGAAATCTTTCGCGGTGGCATCCACATAGGCCAGCAGCTTCATCCTGTCCTCCCGCCTGAGGCAATTCCACCTGGCCAGCACTGTCGTGCTAATCTTCTGGCCCTTGATCGTGCCGTACTCCTCCGGCACCACAGAGCAGAATCTGCAGACCGCCTCCCACCAAGGGTGCGATCGGCTGAAGAGGTCGATCACCGACAACCAAGGGAACTCCAACTGGAGTAAGACCACCTTGTCCTCAAACTGCGGGAGCACGGTGGCGGGGTCCCTTGCTTCGTCCAGCTGCTCCTGGATCCATGCTTGCAGTCTCTCCACATCTTCGCGCTCAACCCAACAATATTCGGGCGCCAGGACGCCGACCGGGAATCCACAGCCATAGCATCAGAATCATCCGCCCCAGAAGCGGCCACTGAGACCGCAGACGAAGGCGGAGCCGACTGGACCATCTCCACATCCAGCACCTCCAATGGGACCTCTTGGGTGGGACGATCGGTGCCTGAGGCAACCGCGTCCACAACACCAGGAGGCGAATCCCCAGAGGGCACCTGACGGGAGGAATTCTCGAAACGGTGTCGCCTGTTCACATCACCAAGGTCGACAACCAACTGTTGCAAAATGGGCTTTCCCTTCAGGAGGCCAACCGTGCTCGCAGCACGCAAAATTTCAATCACACTTGCAGTCATCACCTCCGACTCTGTCTGGTTGGTGAACTCAGTTAGCAGGGTGGCCACGTCCTCAATGACCAAGTCATCGGCTGAGGAAGGCACTGCACGCGAAGGGGCAGCCATGATCAGAAACAGAAAACAATCAACAAGAAAACAGAAACCCGAGACAACAACCCGAAGAGAAAACAGAAAGCACCCCGACGTGCCTATGATCCAAAATGGCCGCATGGCCCGACGACATCCGAGGCACCCAAGTGTGCACCAGCAGCTGGCTTAGCCCTATGACATGCGAGTTGATCAGTGCAAGCACGGCTTCCTCTACACATATACATCTAGACATAAATACATACATACGTATATACGTATATACATATATACATATATACATATATACATAGATACATATATACATATATACATATATACATATATACATATATACATATATACATACATATATACATATATACATATATACATATATACATATATACATATATACATACATATATACATATATACATATATACATATATACATATATACATATATACATATATACATATATACATATATACATATATACATATATACATATATACATATATGAATATGTACATATGTACATATATACATATATATGTATACATGTATACATGTATACATATATACATATATACATGTATACATAAGTACATACATACATACATACATATATACATATATACAAATATAAATATGTACATATATACATATATACATATATACATATATACATGTATACATATATACATATACACCTAAACACTACATACATCTTCTTCAGGACGCAGCGAACGAGTCGTCGCCTAGCTAGCTAAGGCAGAATCTCGTGGTGAGATTCCGGCGCCTCAGTGGGCGCGCACTTTTGTGCCCCCTCAAGTCACACATAGTCACGAATGACAGTACGTGTGCTTTGTACAACTAAGTCGTCGGAGCTTGCTCACAATGGCAGGTGAGGCCTCAGTCCATTCGCATTGCCCATAGCAAGTAGGCTTTGCGACTGAGCTCAACAGAGTCGGGCAAGGAGAGAGGCTCAGCTGCATGATTGTCGTCATGCAGCCAGACACGCACTGGATTTTGACCCCAGCGCGTTAAGCAGCGGTAATGCCCCTGGTGCAAGGCAGGCCCATAGTGGAGAGCCATGGCACACACCTGATAGGGTCTCCAATGCTTCTGTATGTCATGTGACATCGCAAATTGTGGAATGCGTATCACTTCAGACCAGTCTGGGAGAGCCTGATCGTCCTTGCTGAAAATGCCCCGTTCATCATCACGCCTATAGCGCGACAAGTGGAGGCAAATGAGATGAGGCATATTGCCATTGAAAGCGGTATGGTAATGCTGGGCAGACCACTCCTGTACGCAATGCTGAAGCCCCCGAGCCTCCAGGGGCAGGTCAAGTGTGACCGGGAGCAGTGCATTGGAAGATGCACAAATCACAGTGCCCGTGTCCTCCAGTCTGCGAGTTTGCCACAAACCGCTGAAGGCCTCCAATCGAACTCTCGGCATGAGATGAAGTAGAAATTCGTGCATGTCGTGTTGTTGATTGGGCCTGGCCCAGTTCCCCAGCAACATAGTCCAGCACATGTTGCGCATCAGTCGAAGGTCCGACCTCGCAGTCAGGCACTGATATAAGCTGCTCAATGAGCCTGATCGAGTGGGATCATGGCAGCCAATTGCCCAGAGCAGGGCAATGAGTGCTGTGTTCATGTAGCAGGCAGTGCCGTCTGCATTGTGGAGGACTGCATGAAGCAAAGGCTGAAAGTGCGAGGGGACTTCTGTGGGCACAAATGAGGGCGAGGAGCAGGCAGTATCTAAGGGCAAATCCCGGGACATTCTGAGAAAGCGACGTATGCCAGAAGAGGCTGAGGTCGAGGCCAAGGGTGTGGTTGATTTCACCAGCCGCCGACCGCCTGTTGAATTTGGGCCGCAAGGCCTGACAGGCCGGGGCGGTCCTTCCTCAGGCGCGCTCCGAGAGGATGGAGGCAACTCTGGTTGAGCAGCATTTGAAAGATCTCCCACATGCGATCCCCCTGTGGTCGAAACCCGAGCTCCAGCTGAAAGTGGATCCATTCGGACTGGGGTTCCTGTGGAAGTCCGCGGAGTGATGCGAATTTCTTCACAGAGTCCGGATTCACTAGGGTGCGAAGCTCTCGGAGGAGCTCGAGGAGGGTCTCGGTGGCAAGTGGACTCGGAGCAGCTTGAAGTTCGAGCTGGCCTTTCTGTGCATTCCACTGCATGTAAGTCCAGCCTTCCTCCTCCTTGTACCACTGCATGTCGATGGCCGCCTGCTTCTCCTTGCTGATGGTGAGCTTGATCCGGGTCTCCATCTCCTGCAAGATGGCTTTGAGGAGGAGAGTGCGCAGCGGACTGTTGATCTTCCCCGGTTCGTCGCGACGAAGGCGGCTCCATTCCTTGGCAATCTCGCATAGATTGGGAAGAAAGGATTCCTTCCCACTTCGGAGATAGAGATGCAGCTTGCAGTCCTGTTGGATGCTCTGCAGCTGCTGCTCGTGGCGAAGAAGGAGACGGGCCATTTGACCGGTCAGGTCGCCGGAGGAAGTCCAGGAGTGGCCGCTGGACCAAGACTGATCCGAGCTCCATTGGTCGTTCCACGACTGTTGGGCAGCTGGGCGTGATTTGCCCCCTTTGCCCCGTCCTTTGCCCTTGGGCTGCTTGCCCTTCCCTTTGCCCTTGGGTTCCAAGCTCGTGCTGGCGAACGTCATGGTCGACGCTGAAGCCTGGGAGCCGGACGAGTGGTTCAGGAATAGGGCTTGTTGTGCCTCCGGCTCCTCCCCCCGGCGGCGCTTGAGTTGAGCTGCATCCATGCCCGCCGGCGGTGTCATGAAGTTCTGGAAGAGGCCCAATTCGCGTTGATCCTCCACTGACATTGGCAGGAGAGAGTGCGTGAACCGATTGGTCCAGGGCAGTGGAGGCTATGGCAGGGAAGGTGTTGTTCAGCCAGCACTCTAGGAAGCTGAGCAAGGTAATCATGTAACACTGCTTCCAGTGATGTTGGAGATCAATGCGAGATTCCTGGCAGTATAGACATGGTTTACACAGACTGCGGCGCAGAACTTGAGCCTTCGCCTGTGCAGCCGGGCGGAGAGCTTTCCATTCCGGGTGTGACTGCTGCAAATGCACCTTGAGCCCCGAAGGGGAAGCAGTCCACTGAGAGCACAGCGGGCAGTGGTGCTTCAGTGAGCTCCTGAGATCTGGCCTCGAGAGGAGCGCCTGCCAGCCAAGACGTCGCAGCTGTGTTTGAAAGGCCGGGGTATAAGCCAGCGGCTGCGAGACAGGCTGATGGCGAATGGACAGTATATCCTCGGCATCCGCCATGGTGGCGGCAGCTGTAGGCTGCCCCGGAGGTGAAGAGGAGGAAGCCGGGTTCGGGCAAGAGTGCGCAGCAGGGCACTCTGCCAAAAGGGGTGGCTCCAGACCTGGCGCTGACGTAGTAGCTGTGGTAGTGCCGGCCTCCGTGTGCACAGGGGCTAGTTCGGTGGATGTATGAGGCGGCAATGGGTGGGTCGCAATGTTCGGAGGCACAGTAGTAGTGGGCTCAGGCTCTGGCAGGGCTGAGAAGGACAGGCATCTGCAGTGTCCCTTGTCAATGTGGCAGCGAAGACCACTCCAACGAGAGAAGCGGTGCCCGCAGAGACGACAGGTCGGCATCCCACTGACTGAGTGTTGGTCGCGGTTGAAGCGGCCTGGACGCTCCCGATCTTTGGCCTTACTTGCATGGGTTCGGGAGAGATGTACGCGAAGAAGTCTATGTGATGGCGCTTGGTAAGAGCAGTGGGGACATGACCATCCTTCTTCTTGCATTCCCGATTCCAGAGCACCCGTGGTTGATGGATTGTCCTGCAGGGCAAAGCTTGTCGAGGGGGCCGTGGTGACTTCCAACAGTGGCTGAAGGGGAGAGTCGAGTTTCTGAAGGGCATCATCTATGCGTGCTTGCCACATGCGGTTGAGAAGGTGGGCTTCCTCAGGGGGGATGGCGGCCCACCGGGCCGCTCGGCGGTGAGAGGCCTGTCGCAGCGCGTCTAACACCAGGGGAACCCGGAGGCGATGATGTAAAGCAATTGTGGATTCACCTGTCAGATGTGCCTGGGACCTGGCTACAGCGCGTAGCTGTTTTGTTAAGGCTCTCTGAATTTGTACCAGGTGTTGCTGTTGCAGCGGAAGACTGTCAAGGGCATAGAGAGCAGTGGGAGGAATGCATGCCTGCCAGCGACGAAGTCGCAAGGGGAGAGCAGGTGCTGAGGCTGAGGTAAGGGCAGGTCGAAGTCTGGTCCAGGTCGCCCATGTTTGGCGCAATCTATACGCCACCGTAAGCTGCGTACAGTCCTCCTGGTAGGAGATAATGGCTCCCAGATACTTATGAGTAGTCACGATTGGCATCTTGAAGGTGCCTGCCGTGGGAGTTGGTATGCGCAGGCGCGGGCCAACCTTGCCAGAGAGAATTTCTCTACGTCGCCAGCGGCTGGCATAGGAATGATTGACAGAGAGGAGAATCACGGATTTGTCAATGTTGACTTTCATACGTGCATCAATGAGCAGTTGCAAGACGTGACCGAGCCTGTCGATGGACAGAAGCAAATCTCGGGTGGAGTGTACAACCTGCCCAATGTGAAAGTCATCAGCAAAGGCCGTGAGGGCGCGACGGACCCACTCAGAGGAAGTCGCGCGGGCCAATCGGCGCATAAGCAGACCTGTAGCCAGACTCCACAATAGTGGAGCCACTTTACAGCCCTGTTTGACTCCCCGCAAGGCGTGGACGGTGGCTTGCTCAGAGCCGAAGGTCAGGTGATAGCCCAGACCTCTGTAAAACTCAAGTAGTTGTACCCTCAGTTCGATAGGAACTTGGGCCTCAAGCAAGGCTTCGTGTATAAGACTCCAGCTGAGCCGGTCAAACGCTTGAGAAAGGTCCAGTGATGCCTGGACCCCTCCAGTCCGTTGCCGCTTGGAGGCAGAGGATGGGGATGAGGGTTTGCCAGCCTGGGCCAGCTTCTCTCTGGCACGGTGGATATTGTAGGCAGGTTTAAGATTGGCCGCGGACACTTCGTGACAATGGCTGAACA